CAACTTAGTGTGCAGTGGCAGTGAAAAAAGCAAATAGAATGTTAGAAGTCATTAAAAAAGGGATAGAGAATAAGACAGAAAATATCTTATTGCCTCTATATAAAACCAAGGTAAGCCCACATCTTGAGTACTGCGTAGAGATGTGGTCAACTCATCTGAAAAAAGATACATTGGCATTGGAAAATGTTCAGAAAAGGGCAACAAAAACAATTAGGCGTTTAGAACGGGTCGCATATGAAGAGAGATTAAAAAGACTTGAATTTTTTACCTTAGAAAAGAGGAGACTAAGGAGGGATAGGATAGAGGTCTATAAAATCATGACTGATGTGGAAAAAGTGAATAAGGAAAAGTTATTTACTTATTCCCACTACATAAGAACTAGGGGTCACCAAATGAAATTAATAGGCAGCAGGTTTAAAACAAAAGGAAGTTTTTCTTCACTCAGTGCACAGTCTGTGCAACTCCTTGCCCAAGGATGCGGTGAAGGCTAGGATTTTAACAGGGTTCAAAAAAGCATTAGATAGATTCATGGAGGTTAGGTTCATCAATGGCTATTAGCCAGGATGGTTAGGAATGGCATCCCTAGCCCCTGTTTCTTTGGAAGTGGTAGGGATCATGTGAGGATTACCTGTTGTGATCCCTCCCTTTGGGGCATCTGGTGTTGGCAACTGTCAGCAGACAGGATACTGAGCTAGATGGACCTTTGGTCTAAACCAGTATGGCTGTTCTTATGTTTATGTTCTAACACAGAGGTGGCCAACCAGTTAGAGACGAAGAGCCAAAATAGTGGAGGATAGAGTGCGATAAAAAGGGATAGAGAATAAGACAGAAAATATCTTATTGCCTCTATATAAAACCAAGGTAAGCCCACATCTTGAGTACTGCGTAGAGATGTGGTCAACTCATCTGAAAAAAGATACATTGGCATTGGAAAATGTTCAGAAAAGGGCAACAAAAACAATTAGGCGTTTAGAACGGGTCGCATATGAAGAGAGATTAAAAAGACTTGAATTTTTTACCTTAGAAAAGAGGAGACTAAGGAGGGATAGGATAGAGGTCTATAAAATCATGACTGATGTGGAAAAAGTGAATAAGGAAAAGTTATTTACTTATTCCCACTACATAAGAACTAGGGGTCACCAAATGAAATTAATAGGCAGCAGGTTTAAAACAAAAGGAAGTTTTTCTTCACTCAGTGCACAGTCTGTGCAACTCCTTGCCCAAGGATGCGGTGAAGGCTAGGATTTTAACAGGGTTCAAAAAAGCATTAGATAGATTCATGGAGGTTAGGTTCATCAATGGCTATTAGCCAGGATGGTTAGGAATGGCATCCCTAGCCCCTGTTTCTTTGGAAGTGGTAGGGATCATGTGAGGATTACCTGTTGTGATCCCTCCCTTTGGGGCATCTGGTGTTGGCAACTGTCAGCAGACAGGATACTGAGCTAGATGGACCTTTGGTCTAAACCAGTATGGCTGTTCTTATGTTTATGTTCTAACACAGAGGTGGCCAACCAGTTAGAGACGAAGAGCCAAAATAGTGGAGGATAGAGTGCGATGAGCCATGTATTATGTATTTATTTTTATATATCTATATATAGAACGATAGATAGATATAGTACACAAAATGTAGTGATAAAAATAACATTACAGCTCGTTTTGGACAAAAACCAATAAAAAAAGTCTCTAGTCACTTAAATTCATGGCCAGTCCATAGATCTTCAAAGAACTTGACAAGGAACAATCATCAATTTAAAAACAAACAAACTCTTTAAAAATACAGTAATATTCTCTCTCAAAAAAAGCATCCCCAGCATGTATTTTAAATTTAACACTACTGACCTATTATGTCCTGTGCGTTTTTAAAATTAAAACTGAAATGAGAAATAAACTAGTACAATTTGAAGTTCCTGTCCCAGACTGCAAATGAGAGAGGTTAAAAAACAATAAGGGAGAAACTCATATCTCTCTCCTTGCCCAAGGATGCGGTGAAGGCTAGGATTTTAACAGGGTTCAAAAAAGCATTAGATAGATTCATGGAGGTTAGGTTCATCAATGGCTATTAGCCAGGATGGTTAGGAATGGCATCCCTAGCCCCTGTTTCTTTGGAAGTGGTAGGGATCATGTGAGGATTACCTGTTGTGATCCCTCCCTTTGGGGCATCTGGTGTTGGCAACTGTCAGCAGACAGGATACTGAGCTAGATGGACCTTTGGTCTAAACCAGTATGGCTGTTCTTATGTTTATGTTCTAACACAGAGGTGGCCAACCAGTTAGAGACGAAGAGCCAAAATAGTGGAGGATAGAGTGCGATGAGCCATGTATTATGTATTTATTTTTATATATCTATATATAGAACGATAGATAGATATAGTACACAAAATGTAGTGATAAAAATAACATTACAGCTCGTTTTGGACAAAAACCAATAAAAAAAGTCTCTAGTCACTTAAATTCATGGCCAGTCCATAGATCTTCAAAGAACTTGACAAGGAACAATCATCAATTTAAAAACAAACAAACTCTTTAAAAATACAGTAATATTCTCTCTCAAAAAAAGCATCCCCAGCATGTATTTTAAATTTAACACTACTGACCTATTATGTCCTGTGCGTTTTTAAAATTAAAACTGAAATGAGAAATAAACTAGTACAATTTGAAGTTCCTGTCCCAGACTGCAAATGAGAGAGGTTAAAAAACAATAAGGGAGAAACTCATATCTCTGAATGATTGCTTCAGCCTGGCAAACAATAGCCTTTGGATTTTCTTTAAAGAAACACAGTGTAAACCAGATACATGCTGATTCTTTTTTTGCCCTTGAATTTAAATATGACATCTGTGTTGGCTGCCTTATTCTGAATCCACAAAGACTTTGAGTTTAAGGTGCGTCAGCCCCTCCACCTCAATACAATGCCCCACCCTTCCCCCAGAGCCAGGCACCCTGAGCCCCCTGAAGGCTTATTGATAATGAAAACATCTAAAATACCACAGGTAGGATTAAAAACAGATTAAAACCCACTCATGTTTCAGGTCATAAGTCAGCCACAAACTTCTTGAAGAGAAAAAGAAACATTCCTATCCAGGGATAACTGTCCACAGTAGTTGTTGTGGACATAGGTAAACACACTCACACCCCATCCTGTGACACATCTTGTATTTGCCACTTTTGTAGCTAGAATACTGGACTAGAGGGTCCCATTGGCTGATTTGGCAATGCCTACATTCCAAGGAAATCATATGACAAATTTTAACACAATACAGATACTAACACAATACCTAACACTCAGGACATATGAAAATTAAACTGGGACCACAAATCAGCCCCTTGTGTGTGTATATATTACAGTACTCTTGATTCCATTCCATTTGGTAGAAAAAAACTGTATGCTATGATATTATTTGAGAAACAGTAAGTGACTAAATTGTCACCATGCAATTAACACTGAATTGTATGCTTGTACAAGGGGAAGAGCTAAAGGGCTGTGGTCCAATGCCTTCCCCTTCCCTCAGAGCCACCCGCCCCAGGCCTAATGCCTCACTTCTCCCCCAGAGCCAGGCAACCCTCAGGCACCCCCACTGTCCCTCCCTTTCCCTCCCCCAGAGCCAGGCACTCCCAGCCCCCCCGCTCTAACCCAATGCCCCCAGTCTCCCCCCCAGCTCTAACCTAATGCCTGGGTCCTGGAACCACAGCTGTGAGCAGGCTCTGGGATGCCGTGCGCAGAGCAGCCGGCCTGAGCAGTCCGGGCACACGGCTCAGGAACAGCAGGAGCTGCATTTTTTTAATCAAAGATTTGCATGCAGCTCGAGAGCCGCATGTTGGCCACCCCTGTTCTAACATATCCATTGCTACAATGATCAGCATTCCTTTACAACACCCCTTTCAAGATCCATGAATTGTACACATGTGGTCTATTTCATCTGGTCTACTAAGGCTGTCGACACTGGCAGGGTCTTGCGCAAGAATATCTTGCGCATGACATCTTGCACAATAACCCTTACGCAAGAACACGTCCATGCTGCCGTGTGCTTTTGCGCAAGAGCATCCATGGCAGTGTGGACTCTCCTTTGTGCAAGAAAGCTCTGATGGCCATTTTAGCCATAGGGCTTTCTTGCATAAGAAACCCCTGCTGCATGTCCACACTGCCGTCTTGCTCAAGAGAGCGTACACTTGTTAGAAAAGAGTGTAGATCTTGTGCAAGAAGCCCTCTCTTACCACGCACAAGAGGGGGCAGGCAGTGTGGCTGCTCTGCAGAAGAACGGCTGTTCTTGCACAAGAACCTGCCAGTGTAGACATAGCCTAAATGTCCCAAGTAGCAAACGTGTGGGTGAAACCAAACAGTCAGTACACTTTTGAGTAAATTCATTCAGGAAAATAATGGTTGTCGTACCTCGGTACCTTCGGTGGTCTGGACTGTCAGTGTCCATGTCGTCTGGTCAGGGTTGTTCTGGCGCGCTCCTGACAGGACCTCTACTCTGTTGTTAAACTCTCGGCTGCGTGTTTAACAATCAGTACTCCCTTTATCTAGAGTGTTAGACCCCGTGCACTTGGGTCAACACAAGAGATCTCTGAGAGGCCCCGGAAACGACAGATTCAGGCAAGGTTTGAAATCAGTCGAGCAGGTTTATTGTCAAATGCGGAGCTCTACCAATTGGTAACAGAGATCAGTACAATGTTACACCACTGAGCATTATGGCCCGCGTTGACAAGGTACCAACACCGGGTAGGCCTGTTGCCATATAACAGATATTAACAGCAGTTAGTCAAAGTTAAGCTACTGTGCACTCTGTAAGTTTAGGCAATGACACCTGCCGTTCAGGAGCCTAGTGCGCCCCCCCCAAGGTCAGCCGGAGAGCACCCTCTGCAGTGTCCTTTTATAGACAGGTACAAACAACTTACATCATTTCTTTATGTACCAGGTTACCACCCTCTGTTGCCTAATTACCACCCCTCCCTTTATGGAAGGGGGGCTTACTTACTATCCTTCATGACGTTAGTTCCGACCTGGTCCTGAACCTAGGTCGATATGTGCTTTAGTTTTTAGGGAGTTTTTGTACCAAAACATTTCTTCTTAAGATGTTCCAATACTCCCCTTTGGCTTACAGTCTGTACCCAGTACCTCCCTGTGTCCTTCCATGCTCGACCTAACTTACACAATCACACAATTTATCAATAGGGCCTCTTTCTTGGCTCCTGTTACTGAACCAAAATCTTGCTCACTAGATTGCAGGTTTGTGGCTGTTTTCATGTTATAGGCCTCTATTTAGGCCTGCTGACTCCATGTTACTGACCTCAACTTACTACAATGGTCAAAAACACCGTCATGTGCCGACAAACACTTTTCATAAATCAAATCCTCTCTATCTGACCTACGAGTCATCCTCAAAGGAAATCTGCACACTTTCAAAACACACACCTGGTTCTTAAATTCATCATTTGGCTGAACACTAAAATCATTTTATTAAGACAATCTGTAATCCTCTACCACCAACCACCAGCAGCCTTTTTCCAGCCCCACCTTTTCCTTCTGCCCTAGTATTGGAAGGGTGTTAACAAGATACCTCATGTTGAGTGGTCTCTTGAAATGTATTAAGGACGTACGTTAAACAGTCTGTGCCATCTTATGTTTAGTTGAGAGGGATTTGGAGCAATCAAATTTTTTAATTGCTCCGCTCCAGCACAAATAGTGACTGCTTCAGCTCCGCTCTGACTCTGCTCTGCGCTCCGACTTAAATTAATTTTTAGCTAAATAAAGTGTATACTGTAATTTTGAAAAAACATTTTTATTCAGTTTTAAATCAATTTAAATGTCATCAACGATACAAACTAGAATCATTCATAATTCAATCTGTAAAAAATTATTGCAGCAATCGAGTCGTCTTTCATAGCCTGCCTCAGATCATTTAAAATTAACTTTAAAGCCAAAAACAGTCACTCTACACTAGGTTGAGCTGTTGGCATGCTCAAAGCAATTCTACAGGCAGACTGAATGCAGTATGGGTAGCTGTGAATGGCCTCAAAAACAGACTTAACTTTTAGCCTACCAATAGACTCCATCGCCTCACAATCTTCCCGAAAGTTTCTCTCGAATAATGCTTCATTACAATTATGAAGCGCAGAAACTCGGTGGCGTCTTTCTTGTTTATCCAATTCCTTTTCAAAGTCGTTATCTTCTGAAGAATTGGTGCTTGAATTATCTCCATTTCCCTGTGATGGTTGACGACGTCTCAGGGATGGACGCTCGAACAAGTTCAGAGTGGAGACGGAAGTTTGAGAACAGCCTTCTATTTCTGAAGGATGTGAACATTCTGAAACCGCAGAGTCGATTGTTGATGACTCCTTTTGTTGTCTTTCGTTTTTTTCAACCTCTTTTGCCGAGTTCAAATGTAGCAATAGATTTTATTTTTCGAGTCGTTGAGCAATATCGAGGAGCCCTTCCTTTGCCTTTGGTATTTCCCTTGAGGTAAGAAGAATCCGATACCGTGGGTCAACAAACTCCAGCAAGGAAATGAATATTGTCAAAAAGCTTCTCTTCACGTTTCTGCATGGAGGATAGAATTCCTTCTGCAATTTGTCCACCATTTTCTTGCAAGAATTTTGACAGTTTTCTCCATTCCTTCATTAAAACTCCCAGGTTACATCGACAACTTGAAGATTCACGGTTGTTTGGTTTGGCTTTGCCAAGAGGTCTCACAGGTTCTTCACTTTGTCCAATTCAGCTTTTGTTAACTTGAGTTCTCTTGTTCCAGCAGCAGCCACTTGTTCACAGTAAGGTTGAAAAACAAGAAGCCGATCAATCATCGCAAATGTTGAACCCCAGCGAGTCAGAGTATCCAATGATTAATTACCCCATGTAGATCAAGCAGAACACTTTCAATACTTGGGGTTCATAGTTTGACAACGACTTGTCAAATTTTTGCCAGAAATTTCTTTGCATGTTCTTTGTTCAGTCCATCCCAGATTGCCAACTGAAGAGCGTGAATAATGCACCTCATCAGTTGGACTTTTGAATCGCCCTCATGAAGGCATGTTGGAAGTATGAGGCTAGGGTCATTAACCCATTGCGCAGCAGCATCCATGCTGAGTTCTATTTCATCCATTCCTTTAGTTCCTTCATCAGGCAAAATAGCTACAGTTCTGTCCACATTCCTGTTCTCAGAAGTAGAAATGGTTTCATTGTCCTCGCTGAAATTTTTGACGGCACACACCATGGTTGCTGAATTGTCAATGCAAATGCTCAGCACTTGCATTTCACTGATCCCAAATTTTTCTAAAATAGCTTTTACTTGACTTTTCATGTAGGAAGAATTGTGACACTCTTCAGTGTCGATTATGTCCAAGGTTTTTACCAAAGCTTTATCTTTTCCTTCTTTGTAGTACTGAGCATTGATTGCAAGGAAATTTCTGTTTCCATGGGTTGCTGCATCCATTTTCAGGTAGCACAATTTTTGTTCCAAAGCTTTCTTGAGCTCTTCGCAACCAGACTCAGCTGTGCTGACAACTAACTGACAAACTGCATCGTGCCCCATCGAAATGCCAAGCTGCTGACCCTTTTCACCTCCAATTTTTTGGAATCCTTTGTTCTTTAGCCTGAAGGTAGTGGGCGGTGTTGAACTCAAGCAAACCATTTCCATCAGCCCTTCACGGAAAATATTGGCATCGATGGTGACTGTAACCCTTGAGGACTTCAAATATGAGTCAAGTTTTGTTTGCTCAATTTTGGGTTTCTTTTCAGATGAAGCTCTGCAAAAAAATCTTTTCTCCAGGAGTTTTCAAAGAGCCAGATGAATGTTGTTTAGCTGCATCAGCTTTCTGTTTTGCCTCATCTTCCTGGTCCTTTTTTGTAACCAGAGCTGCATAATTTTCAAGATGGTTACATTTTACATGCTGCCAAAGGTTGAAACTTTTTACAGCACTTGCTTCACTTGTCTTGAAGCTACATGGTTTGAGCTCGCCATTCACTTCCTTTTCCACCTTGCACATTGCAGATTTCTTCTTTGCTTTTCCCAAAAGCCCAAATTTGGGCTTTTCAAATTCAAAAGTAAAGATGTCATTGAGATCCTTTTCCGTAAATCGGCTATCAATCATGGGGGGCAGATTTTATTTTTTTGTTGAAGCCATTGACAAATCGTCTTGTGCTGCTACCGCATCCAAATGTTTCTTGTTATGATCTTGGAAAAGAAATGAACAAAAGCATTGCTTTACATTTTTTTATAATGTAGCTGCTTGTGATATCTTAACCATTTAAGGTATTTCGAATTTATTTAGGATTTTCTGGACAAAAATGATCGGATTTTCTTTTTACACAAAATTATTATTAAAGTATATTTTAATATTTTAACATGTTTCTTGCAGTTTTAATGCAGTAAAAAGTATTTTTAATATACATAATTAATATAAATTTATTCATAAGTTGCAAGTTAGTTTTTCTTACGAAATTTTGCGGTAAAAATATTCAAAATATTTTCCAAGCTTTTAATTACTCAAAAATGCTTTAATATAGATATATCAATGAAATTAGGTATATGCCATAGCATTAGGACATGCTATTGCTATTCTACAACATTGATTGTTGGGAAGTAACGAGGCTACACATTACAAGGTTGAAAATAAACACATACTAATCTAACTAACTAATCTACGCGAGTACGTACTCAACACCAGTTCAGCCTGTCTGCTTCAGGGATCACGATTTTAGATTCTGCTCAGTATTTAAATAACCATCCTTCACAGGGCTGAAGTCACTTTTTAAATGTTTATAGCCCTTTGGTTGGTCTTTCAAGCATGTTCTGGACTACTCTTATCTGACATCTGTTGTCTTACTGGCTCCACTAACAAACCAATATAATAAATATTTCATTAGCCTCATACAAGGAGAGGTTACTTACCTTGTACCGTAATTGGAATTCTTTGAGATGTGTCCCCTTTGCATCTGTGCCCCAGGATGGAGGTGTATGGAGGAAAGGGGTTGGCCTTCTGCCACCACTCTTGTTTCTTCTTAACCACAGAAGTCTTGCCCAAGAACGAGTCAGAGGGGAAGAGGAGATGATAGCGTGGAGCACTCACAAGACACAAAGATAAAAAAAGCTGTCCACTGCTGACCTCCATGCTCCCTGCTTTCGAATTGTATAGAGCCCCGGGAGGGCTTCATGCTGGGCTCTCTCATTCAGTCGGGGGGAGGGGAGGGCGTCACTTCAGCTATGGCCTGTTTGGTTAATTGCCTCCCTTCTTCCCTCTGACCAAGGCTAGGGACACTATTCCTACCCATTCTGGCCAATAGCCACTGATGGACCTAACTTCCACGAATTTATCTAGTTCTTTCTTGAACCCTGTTAAAGTCCTGGTCTTCACAACCTCCTCTGGCAAGTAGTACCCCAGGTTGACTGTGTGTGGTGTGAAGAAAAACTTCCTTTTGTTTGTTTTAAGCTTGCTACCTATTAATTTAATTTGATGACCCCTAGTTCTTATGTTGTGGGAACAAGTAAATAACTTTTCCTTATTCACTTTTTCTACACTTGTCATGATTTTATAGACCTCTATTCTATCCCCCCTTAGTCTCCTCTTTTCTAAGCTAAAAAGTCCCAGTCTTTTTAATCTGTCTTCATATGGGACCCATTCCAAAGCCCTTATCATTTTTGTTGTCCTTTTCTGAACCTTTTCCAGTGCCAAAATATTTCTTTTTTGAGATGAAGCGACCACATCTGTACACAATATTCAAGATGTGGGCATACCATGGTTTTAGAGAGGCACTAAAATGTTCTCCGTCTTATTCTCCAACCCATTTATGATTCCTAACATTGTTTGCTTTTTTGACTGCCACTGCACAGTGAGTGGATGTTTTCAGAGAACTATCCACAGTGACTCCAAGATCTCTCTCGAGTAGTTATAGCTAAATTAGTCCCTATCATATTGTATGCATCGTTGTTTAATCTAATTTTAAATATCCCTACTTCAAACACATTTTGGCTTTTCTTATTATATTTTTACACTTAATTTGGCAGAGTTTATTTCTATTAGCCTCACTAGTATTTAACTTCCACTTCTTAAATAATGCCTTTTTCTCTCTCGCTGTTTCTTTTACTTGGTTAAGACAAGCCATGGTGGCACTTTTATGGTTCTCTTACAGTGTTTTTTAATTTGGAGTATACATCACAGGGTCTTAATTTCAAGTTTTATTCATTATGCTACTTTATATAAGCAATAACACACCACACAGTGCACATCTCAGCATGTGTGGATTGGGGGAATGGGGTGACCCAGTAAGTTCCAGTTCTTGTCACAGAGTTCAGAATATCCATTCTCCATCTTCACATTGACATCTGGCCACAGGAGTCCATGTGATCTCCATTGCTAAATTATGCTGATTTTTTTTCAAGTCAATTTTCTACATACTGGGTCTATCTGAAACACTTTTATGTCAAAACAGACATGATTTGGAATGTGAAAGCTATTTTTCTGTCACCATGGGTGGTCAAAACTTCTCAGATCCAAGAGATGTGAGTATTTGCCATAGAGATTTAAACTTGCCATCTATTAGAATTCTCTCATTTTCCTTTTCCTACTTGGTGACTTTGGAAATTAATGAATCTCTGATATGTCATAATTCAGAGTTGATAATAATAGGCTTGGGAAGGCACTACAGAACTGTGTTAATATATACTGCTACAGTCATAAATAGTATTCAGCTGTGTACCTCTGGTGTGTGATCTTACCAGAACTTTTCACTACACAAGATTGGTCCGGGACACTGCACGAATGGAAAATCTATAAGGAAAGTGCCGGGATTTAGTAGATGACTTTGTTCCCTTGAAGAAAATACTTCAGATCCCACAATGAGGCTTTTTTCCCCCATGAGGCTTTCACATCTTGGTCTAAAGAGAGTCTGCCCTCTATCCCCCTCCTCTGATTTCCCAGCTCACCTGCCACAGGGAGAGGCTTTGTAGCACATCCAGTGCTCCTTTCCTCCCTCCAAATCTAGTTTACTTCTCAGAATGGTAACTTTACCTCACTCCTCCTGACAGCAGCCGCCAGACTTCTCACTTAAGCTCTGGTCTAGCATTTTGAGTGCGCACCTTGGGACTTGCTCCTTTGGCCGCTCAAGAGCAGAGGAGTGCCAGAGAGGAACCCAACTGGCAGTGGCTGGTTTTCTTCCTTCTCCTGCAGCACTCACACAGAAGGGGAAGAACTACTCTGATGGCTGCTGCCCACTGCAGTGATTGTGTCTCAAACATGTGGGTGTAGACATACCATTAAAATCTAAGCAAGTACTGTTTTAAGTAGGGATGTTAGCAAGTAGTAGACTATCCAATAAGCTTATACTTATCGGGGAATCGACTGGAGTATCAACTACTCACTCCCCGACCCCCTACTGCCTCAGAGTGACTTTCTATATACAGGCAGTCCCCGGGTTACATGGATCCGACTTACATCGGATCCCTACTTACAAACGGGGTGAGGCAACCCCGCACTAGCTGCTTCCCCCCAGCAGACCAGGGAGACGTGAAGCTAGCACTCCCCCCAGCAGACCAGGGAGACGCGGAGCGGCTTTTCTCAGCAGACACCTCAGCTTGAGAATAAAGGACTGAGGGAAGTGAGGTGTGGGAGAATAAAACTGAGCTCTGGAGAAGTGTTTGGCTAGAGTTTCCCCTACAATATGTACCAGTTCTGACTTACATACAAATTCAACTTAAGAACAAACCTACATTCCCTATCTTGTACGTAACCCGGGGACTGCCTGTAGAAGGTAGTTCACTCTCTCTTTGGATATTAAGTTATGACAACTTTTAACATTTGACAAATCAATTTTCTAGTAGTCATTTTCAAATTTTAATGTGCTTTTTAAAATCTTACTTTACAAGGCAACTTATCTCACTGTCACCAATATATCAATACAAAAATCTTACAATGTTTTATTTGCTATAAAACTACAACATTAAAACTGGGGTTAAATAGTTCTTTCCTTTTGCCCACTGTTTTATTACAAGGATGTTCATTAGTCCATTGCTAAGACTGCTGTATTTAATTCAAATAATAAGTTACACAATTCTGTACATAATTACAACAGAGTCAAATTAGAATTCAAGGTATGTATCTTTGTAGTACTCCACAGTCAAACACCATGAGGGAAAAGAACTACAGTATATGAGAGCCTTTTTTTGGAAGTCATTTGGTGTCCTTATGTCAGGGAACTGACATCCAGATTTCTTAGGCACTGATCCAGGCAACTAGGCCTTGCAGTAAAACCTGTCTATTTCAACAAACTCATCCATTTTTTTTAAAGCACATAGCCACATGATCTGTTTGCCATATAAAAATAACTGTTGGCTAAAGTCATGCCTCTCTTCAGACCTTGGAAGCAGCTGAGTGATTTTACATTCTCTCTCTCAATTAGATTCACTGCAATGTTAGATCAGGCAGAAATGTCAAAAGCTTGATCATGTTGGACTCAACCAAACGGATATTTTAGTTTGAACAAAAAAAGTTTAACAACTAAAAGATGAAAGTTTACACTAAGGCAGATCTAGCTATTTCCATGCTGAGATCATTCTCTCTCAACTTTTAGTTTAGGATACTTGGTGAATAATGTGCTAGGAGATCATGCTTTCAAGGCATTTACACTAATGATTCTGATTCTTTTTGCTGTGGAATGAAAAAACTGTTCAAAAGTTGGCATTCTTCAGGGTAATAATTAACAGCTTAGCAAATCTGCTTGTTTTCATAGTGCTGTTTAATATGAAATTATGAAAAAGAAAGCAAGCAAGCCTCCTGTATATCAAATAAGTTTAAAACCAGATACTATTTTTTTCTTTCTACAACAGTTTATAGCATTTCAGAATCCAGTATGGCACTATGAGTAACCTTGTTAAAGAACCAATACTCAGTTTTGCTTGGTATTAAAAGGCTGAATAACGGTATCATTTTAAACACAGAATCTAGGATTGGAGTGATTTTTTTTCTGAATGTGCTGAGTAATAATAAAAATCTGGCTCTGCATTTTTAATCTGAAACACGTGCAAAAGCCTCACAGTACAGTAGAGGACAAGGTAAATATACAAAAAAATCATGAACGTTATGTGCCAATGTAGTTACCACATGTCAAACCAGAATAGGGAGGGAAACTTCAGAGGATGGCTAGTCACAACTTTCCTCACCAAGAATTGTCTTCAGCTGGTGTTATCTCCTCACCCCAGTTTTTATGTAGTGCATTAAGATACTGACATTCGTAAGTATTCTAAAAAATTTTTCCTTGACAGTTTCTAATAAATTTCCTTCAAGAATTCCAGTAATTTCTCAGTCCTAATGGAGGAGTTGTAATAGTTATAATGCATTTATGAAAGCCAGTGCTGAGAGAGCAGTTCCATGAAGACTGGCACCTCCTTTTTTATAACATTTTCAAGAGTTTAAAAGAATTGAAACAAGCTTATTTCAGAAAGGCTCTAGATTTTGGTGCTTCAGCATCAGTGTTATTTTATGTTTTCACATGTTGTAGGCGACATAAATAGGATCCAATTGGTCAGCTAAAAATCCATCTCTCAAGTGCATTCGCTGCTTTTCACCACGAGAATTGATGGGAATAACTCCTGGGTCCACAATGACTACAACACCAACTATGAGATAATGTTCCTCCAGAACTACGTTTGTCACCAACGCCACCAAATCTAGGGCTTCTTGTTCTGAGCCTTCTAATTCCACAACCACAACCAGCAAGTTGGTCCATGTAAACACAGCACTGTTGGTAGAAAACAAGAATTAATTGTGTGTTTGGGGAAATAAAACTAGAATGAATAAAAAAAAGTTCCCAGAGACAGAGGCTAATTGGGAAAAAAACAACCCTGAGAAAATACTTGAGATACTCAACACAATAAATGTAAACAAGGTCACTCTGTTGATATGACATTAAGTATACAAAAAAGACAGATGTGGAAATTACAGTTGAACATAATCTGACTCTGCCATCTTGAGTGTTTTATTATTGTAGAAAGTAAAAGGTATTAAATCTCAAAGTTTATCTTTATTCTCCTATAAACATTATAAAATGTCACTAAGATAACACGTGATCATGAATTTAATGATTACCCTGTAATTCATAAGTAGATGGTGACAGAGTTAAGCTTGACTGTTCAGCTTTAACTTTATTGTTTCTTGATTTCAAAGTATTTACAGTAATGTCTTTATTTTGCATTTAATGCATCCAAATTGTCCAAGGAACAAAAATAAAACTCTATTTTATAACAATTAACACCCTTAACAGGGTAAC